TGGCTTTTTGAAACCTACAGAGACCCTGGAAACAATAGCAGGACCGGTTACTGCATTGGTTGCACGCAATGCTTCTCAGTAAAATAATGTTTTTTTTCTTTAAGTCTAACTACACCCTTAAATTCCTCTGACTTTGTCTACAGGCTGGCATGGCAAGTTCTGGGGGATTCAAAAGACTAGACATGCATTTTGAAACATTTCAATGTATGAAATTATAGAAATAATCATAAGTTGTGAATTTAGCTTTTACTTTTGTGTAGACTACCTCTTTAAAAGTAGCCCGGGTTTTTAGAAATGTTTTTGATATCTTTACGTTTAATACTGTATTTCCCAATGTTATTTAGAATCAGCCAAAGGAACCTCTGGTGAAAATATGTCTGGAGGACCAACTGTCAGACGAGAGTCCAAGTTTGTTCCAGAGATTGTCCTAACTGAAGATGAGTGCAACGAAGCAATCTCACTGATGAAACATTCAGCGGATGAGGACATCGTCAAGAAGAAAATGAAACTAACGTTTGAGTATCGCCGCAACATGGTGCTTGACCCCCAGCAGTCAAGCAACATACTGTCAGAGTTTCCACGTTTTAAAGACAGCAAAGGCTTGGTAATTATATATCACCCTTTATTGTGTTTTGTTTTGTTTTACCTGTCAGATAATTGAAATTGACACCTGACATTACCCCCATCGCAGGTTGAACAGGATTTCATTTTGATGTTTGGAGAGGGTACCTTAAGCAAGCTTCTGGAGAGGTGGCCAGTCATGTTCAAGAGGAAAATAATCCAACAGTGCAGAAAGCTTCCATCCACAAGTGAGCTTGAAGAACTCTTGTTGGCAGCTGATCCTCCTCAGAACGGCACTGAAGTTGACTTTGGTAAGTTGATAGCCCTTGTTGTTCTTTTGCTCTCATATATTTGAGATATTTCATTGTAATTATTTTAATATTTACATGACAGCATAATTAAAGCTGGGTCTGTGATAAATTAAGGAGAAAATATTAGGCAAAACACTGTCCAGGGTGTACCCTGGACACTGTTCAGGGTGTACCCTGGACAGTGTTTGAGTGGTCAAAATGTGTGAGCCATGTCCCAAAATGAGTAAATTAGGTTCCAACAAGGTGTTCCACGGTCCACAAACATAAGAGAGGTGTTACCTTTGAATTTCAATTTGAAATTAAGTGCAGAGCTACTGAATTTTATTGACAGTCTGCATAACTACAGGATGTTGAAATTGAACACGATTGTTGTTACAGGTTGGGACAGTGACCTTTCGTCAGTGTTATTGCTGCTACACCTGATTCCACCCTCTGCTCAGGGTCTGAAGAGACCAGGAAAGGTTTCTGCATCCCAAGCAGAGAAGCATCTAGTGGTCTTCAAAAAGGTTTGTATTTTTGGAGGATTTTAAGAAAGAAATGTTTACAATTAGGGCTGGGCAATGATTAAAGCCTTTATTCACAATTAACTGTATAATTCACCTGATCATGATTAATCGCATGTCAGTTTTGTTTTTTCCGTGTTTTCCTTTCCTGGTTCCACGACAACCAGCACTATTCTTCTTCTGTGGAAACAGAGGCTGGGCTGGCAGCCAGTCAGCAACATGCATTAATGCACAATAAAGTAAATATTGCCATTAATAGTCTAGTGAATTACAGTGAAATTAATGAGTTAACTTGCCCAGCCCTACTTATAATAGTTTAACAGTTGTAGAATATAGTCATGTACACTAAGGCATTAAAATAGTGCTTCATGATGAGTATTGACAAACAATAAGCTGTTAATTTGTATTCTAATCAGCAACTAACTAGTTGGTGTTTTATATGTCTAACCCTCTGGTACCCTTGGGTATGTTTTTGTCCAAAGAGGTTATCCACCAAACCTTGCCCTTAAGGGTATTAGAGGGTGGTTTTTGAAAGGGTACCAGAGAGTAAATTTTTTTTTTCTGTTTTTGTTTTGTGTATTACAACTGTCTAACTGTAATCATTCTGTGTTGGTAATTGCAGACTGGGACAAACATTCAAGAGCATCTCAATGCCATCACCAGTCAAGCTCAACCCTATCTCCTGGCTGTTGGCGTTAAGAAGAACACAATCCACCAGTTTTTCATCATTCTTGACAAGGATGCCATACCTTGCAGGTCAACATCTTCTCTTGGTGCCTTTGATGAACTGTTTAAGGCTCATTTTGTGTTTGGCACATCTTACAACAGCATGCTCCACAACATGTACACTTTCATCCAAACCACAGTGTACAG